GAGTGCAGTGGCCGCTCCTGGCCACTGCAGCCTCGACCTGCAGGGCTCCGGCAATCCTTCCACTTCAGCCTTCCCAGTAGCCGGAATTACAGGCATGCGTTACCACGCCCGGTTGATTTTTTTATTTATTGTAGAGATGAGGTCTCGCTGCCCAGGCGGGTCTGAAACCCGCGGGCTCAGGCAATCCACTCACCTCAGCCTCCCAAAGGCACGGATTACAGGCTGAGCCACCAAGCCCGGCTAGAGCTGTATAATTCTTTCTGTGTGTTTAAGGGGTTGTCCTACGCACTCAAGGATTTAGCAGCATCCCTAATCTTTAACCACTAATTACCAACAGCAACCCTGCCTTAGTCATGACAATCAAATGTGTGTCCAAATGTCCCCTTGGAGGAGGGGAAATTTTCTGTTGGGAACCACTGGAAATTGGCCAAAGGCATATGACAAATTGAGAAATATCTATTTAAGAAAAAAACTGCTGAATCTCAGAAAATAACTCCACTAATTTGTGGTGTTTCAGCCTTAGGCTGCCTCCTTAGTCTCTACCTCCTTGGGTGCTGGAGTTGGATCCAAGTAGAACAAACTAGGAAAACAGGCAGCTTCACAGTCAGTGGAGCTGACTTGATTTGGAATGGAACCAGAAAATCTTTATGGCCTTGTAGTGATCTCTGTAACAAATGAACATGGAGGACCCGTGTCACAGCTTCTCGGTGTTTTGAGAAGAATGAGGGAAAACAACTAACTAGCAGACTAGTCAGTCATTTAACTGGAAACTTGGGGATGAGGCAGTCATAATGAGCTGTGATAAACTGCTACCTATTCCTAGCTACCTGAAAGATTGTATGAATCCATAAGGCTACACTCATGCTCAGAAGAGACAAAAGAAAGTCCTAGTTAGCTACACATCTTGATTAAGTGACAGGCTTTGTACCTGGGCAAAAGAGACAAAAGAAAGGCCAGAATATATTAAAAGCCGAAACTGACATATAATCGCCTGAACTTTGAACGTGTTTCCCACTGAACACATGTATCAAATGCCAAAGGGAAGAAGACTTACTGCCTCCAAGTGTTTGAGTACAATGTCTGGCCAATCATGCTAACACAGGAATGATCTCTAGAAAACTAGTATTAAAATAAAAGAATAATACAAAAAAATAAAATTGAAGCATCAGTTTCCAAACACCACATGGGAAAAAAAGCCCCACAGGCAAGTCATTAAACAAACATAGGAACAATGATAACCTTTGTGGGATAATGCAAATCCAGAGTTGGTAAATTACATACAATTTCCTGTTCCCAACACAGTATTAGGAGATATGCAAAGGAAAATAAAAGTGTTCCACACATCTAGGAAAGAATAAAAAAGCAACCAAACAAACAAGATTTCTGATGGGGCTGAGATGTTTGACTTACCAGAGACTTCAAAACAGCTATGAAGAATTAATAGGACTAAAATAAACCATATTTAAAGAGTAAAGTATAGCAACAATGACTCTTTAGATAGAAAATGTTAAAGATATAAAAATGAGTAAAAAAAAAAAAAGAACCAAATGTAAACTCTGGAGTTAAAATCTATAGTAACCAAAACAGACAAAAAAGACTTAAGAAAGTGGCATCATTCATAATATTCGCAGACTGGAAACAATCCAATTGTTTATCAGTTGGTGAAAGGATAAACAATATGTGATGAAAGCATATAATAGAAGCCTACTAGGCAATAAAAAGAACAGTAATCACACAGTTCAAGTGGGTGAACCTCAAAAACGTGCTACGAGAAAGAGTCCAGATGCAAAGGTTCATATATTTTGTGATTTTTTTTCATTTGTAATATATATAGAAGATCCATAAAGGCAAATCAGCGGCAGAAAGCAAGTTATTTGTTGCCTGGAAATGGGAAAAGGAGCTAAGATTGACTAACAATAAGCATAAGGGTTCTTGTTTGGGAGATTACAATGTTCTAAAGTTGAATTAATTTATTAAACTCATTAAAAGGTACATTTAGAATGAGTGGACTAGATTGTGTAAGCCATACACTATTAAACCTGTCAAAAATACTGTTTTCCGTGCCAATGGGAATAGCAGAACTTCTGGGGTCAAGATGCATTACATTTCTTTTGCAAGTAATAATAATTATCACAGTATTATTAACTGTTGTATATTTAGCCTTTATTATGCACCACTCCATGAGAGTCTTTAAAATGTGTCATCATATTATTTGTAACTCCATGAGAGAGGAAGTAATAACCAGCATGGCACAGATAAATAATAAATACTAAGATGAACTATTTTTCTCAAGAACTTGATAGCTTGACACTTAAGTTCATTAACCCAACCAATCCTTTTTAATATCCTATTAGTCTTTTTTTCACTGTACTTGTGTTTGTGTGTGGGTGTATGTGTGTGTGTGAAAGAGAGAGAGAGAGAGACAGAGAGAAAGATGTAACATGTCATAAAATTAGCATTGAGTGACATACATTAAATGGAATAGAATGTTATAGATAATGTATTTTTAGGCTTCATAATTATTGACTAAGTATATATATAATCACTGTTAAAATTATTAATTCCTTAAGGACTAAGATTTCAATAACTCTTTCAACTGCCTAATGATATTTTACTTTTAGTATGAGATTCTAAAATAAATGAACAGTCACCTGAGAATAATAGCAGTATTTTTGAGGACTTTTTAGAGATTTTTAGTATGTCATAATGATAATATAACATGAATTACAAAGTAAGGCAAAATTTGATGCGTTTTCCCATTTTCAATAATATGATGCTTTATCTTATACTCTAAAACTTTTAAGTATACTAAGCCATTCTAAGCTTCATTTTTGTAACATAAATGATCAAACTAAATAAAAAAACATAATTTTCTTTCCTTTGTTTGAAACATAAAAAGTATAAATTGTTGATATTTTCATTTTAAATGCATTTAGAAACAATAATAATAATTGTTCATTAGAAGAGGTGTTTTGCTGATGCAAAGATAAAGTAAATTGTTTGTAATCAGTAAATTTTCATAGTGTATAAGTTTTCATATGGTAATTATCTGAGACAGGTGCAAAGATAAAACTTAGTGGAAAATCTTACCACGCCAATGGAAAAGTAATTATTGATGATACTGTAAGGCACTGGGTCTCCCTTCTCATCTTTGTCATTAGGAATGACTTCAAACTTCCACCTGTCCAACATGATTTCTGTGCTGTTTTCAATGTCTTTTAGAATTTTCATCAGATTCTCACCTTCATAACCTAAAGGAAAAAAATTATTTTGAGAGAAATATCTAACCAAATAACAAAAGTTGTATTTATATGTTTGAGTGGGTTTATGCATCTGTATTATCCTAAAGCTAAGTAATGCATTTAAAGCAAGTTCTAACACCAAATAGTTCACTATAATCTTATTGTATTAATATAAAAATTTAATTCTTAACTTTAATGTAATACACATTGTATTTTTCACTTACAGTACTACTTCGCAGTATATACAACTGCCAGGTGAACATTTCTATTGCATACCCCCCAAAAACTTTGAATCAATAAATTCAAAATGGAATTAGCTGTCTGATTCCATATATCTCTACTCTGCATTGTTCTCCACCTCGGTCTTGATGCCAAAAACCTGAATGCTGTTGTAGATTTCTTCCTCGCCATCACTCCCTTCCCCACTTTTCCCTCTAGTGATACAGAACAACTTTCTATTTAAGTAAAATGTCCTACTCTGTTTAATTTTATTTCATTTTATTTCTTATTCCATCTCTCAGCGTACTCCTATTCTCATTGGCTGGCTTGTATCTATTTCCTTGGCATGATTTTAAATTCACTAACACTTCTGCCAGGCATGGTGGTTTGGACTTTTAATCTCAGTTATAAGAGAGGCTAAGACAGGAGGATCGCTTGAACCCAGGGGTTCAAGGCCACAGTGAGCTATGATCACATCACTGCATTCCAGCCCAAGCCACAGAGCAAGACCTCATATCAAATAAATAAATAAAAATAATAAAATAAATAACTTCTGCAACACTTCTGTCTGGAAGTCGTCCTTTCAAAATAATAGATCAGATTCCTCTCCTACGCAGTCCCACAACAGAGTTCTCAAAAACAGCCCCATCCCAAAACTAGTAAACTGCATGATGGTTATTTGTGTTTTTCTCACTACAGATTCCTCTTGCCAGAACTGCCAAATATACTATAGATGGTCAAATGGCCTAAAAATAAATGTATTGCTAATAATACATTTTCTCTTAAATATATCTGTAGGTATATAACATGATAGTTATCTCTGTAGCCTTATCCTGGCTGTGTTACTCTTTTCGTTTCTTAACCACCCTCAATTTTAATTTCCTTTCCCTTAAAACCTTTGGTTTGTTTTGAGGATTGAGATAATGCATAAAAGGTCTCAGTACATGAGGTCTAAAATATAGAGAATAGAAAGTGCTCAACAATAGGACACTACTGATGATAACATCAGAATTTGAAATATTGTAAGAGGTTAAATAATCTCCCCTTCTCTCTCTCTCTTTTTCTCTCTCTCACACACACACACTCCTAAAATGATATTCTGAGTTGAAACAAAAATTTTGTATTTTTTTCTATGTCCAGCTTTTGGTTTGTAACTTAATAATTTATTTGTTGAGCAAGGAAATGCCAGAACCTACAAACCCTCATTAGAGCTATTAGTGTACACTATTAGATACTGAGCTGCTGGATACGCTCACTGAATTAAATGAAAAAAAGGATAGCTACTCTCATATGCCAACACTCCCTAGAGAAGAATTAATTACATTTAAAGTGTATTTATTTATGTATTTATTTTGAGTCTGGGTCTTACTCTGTTACCCAAGATGGAGTGCAGTGGCACAATCACGACTCACCACGACCTTGATCTCCTGGGATCAGGTGACCCTTCTGCCTCAGCATCCCAAGTAGTTGAAGCTACAGTTATGTACCACCACGCCTGGTTAATGTTTTATATTTTTGTAGAGACATGGTCTTGCTAAGTTGTCCTGGCTGGTCTTGAATTCCTGGACTCAAACAATCCTTTTGTCTCAGTCTTCCAAAATGCTGGAATTACAAGAGTGAGCCACCACACCTGGGCAAGGTGAATTTACTCAATTAAATATTAGAAGTAAAGGCTCCCAGAAGCTAGAAGAAATACCTCTTTGGTAGCCTATCATTATTTCTTACTTTATACAGTTTAAAAAATAATTCTCCACTATTTAATACATACAGCAAAAAGTATAATAAACCATAACTACATAGATACTAAAATTTAGAGCATCAAATATGATTTCAATAGATAGCATATATTTTATAGTATAATTTAAAAATACAATTATTAATAATATACATATAATTGTACTCAGTGGCAAACATTGAATGGTTTAAGCTGCAAGACTAAAATAATTATATTTACTTACATTTCAGATGCTTCCTCCTAGTTCTACCTTATTCTCAATGTTTAATATACTCCTAATTTTTATTTGTTTTAAGAAGTTTAAGTAGCCGGGCTCGGTGGCTCAACCTGTAATCCCGTGCCTTGGGAGGCTGAGGTGAGTGGATTGCCTGCT